AGACAGACAGACAGACAGACAGACAGACAGACAGACAGACAGACAGACAGACAGACAGACAGACAAATGAGTGGTCGTTGGGAGCATCTAGTCTAAACGTGTTAAAAGAAGCTCCATCTTCATTTAGTGGTCTGGACATGAGCACTAACTCTTGTCCTAGCCCTATATGGCCTATAATTATAGCGCCATTACTCGCTTTCTGAAAAGAGATGAAGGAAATGAAAAAAAGGTAAAGAAGCTAGTTTTGTGGACATCTTTAAGAGGAAGTTCACCGAACCGAAAATTAAATTTCTTTTTCGGTACGTTTTTATTTTCCCAAAAATACCGGGGAAAACATTAAAAAAAAAATCCAAGAAAATCAGTTCCCTCCTCAGATTCCTGAGAAAATCAGATATTTTTTTTATCTACGAGTTATATACTAATCAATAGGTACTAAAAATCAGCAGGTATCAACTGCCATGTCAAAATTTACCTAACCAGGTACCTAAATTCAGTCTCCAACAGGTAGATGCATGCTACGATGTGTTGTTTTAGGTAGCATTCTAAAGAGTCTCGAGTAACCGTTTCCTTGATCTCTATTAATCAATGTTGATGGATTATGTTTAAATAATGATGACTATAAAATGTTTTTGCACATGAATCCTCCTTAAAAAATCAGAATAAAAATGTGATGTCTTTAGATTTCTGTTATCTCTCTCCATTGGCGTTGCTAATGAAGGTGCCAGAGGGGCCAGGCCTCCTCCAGAATTATCTAGCCCAGAATTATCTAGCCCCCCCTCCAGAATTACTTAGGCCCCTCCAGAATTATCTAGGCCCCCTCCAGATAATTAGTCTAGCTACGCCAATGTCTCTCTCCATGATGCTGATAGTGGTTTACCACCCATTGTAGCACACGGCGAATTAGAAAGACCCAAGTTTGAGTTTAGTTCACTCATAATCGCCAAAAGTGCAGGAACTCAGCGATGAGTAAATTTGCCTCATGTTTTCCCAGGTTTTTCCAGGGATAAATTCCCGAATTTGAGAAAAGTAAAGATTGGATTCACTCAGTCTATTGGTACTACTCCGAGACTGAATAAAATCGTCGTCAATTTCCTCATTTTCCGGCAGATTTTTTAGGTTTTCCACAGGAAACCATGAGACAAATTTTACTCATCGCTGAGTTTCTGCACTTTTGGCGATTATGAGTGAACTCAACTCAAATTTGGGTTGTTCTCATTCGCCGTGCACGGTAACTAAGTCTGACAGCAGTGGGCTCTTTTCTCTGTTTGTCTTGATCAAGCTTAATAACCTCTGATTGTCCTCAACATGTCGCAAAAACGGATTGGGTAGATCGATAGGCAAAGTTGCCTCTACGCATCTACGGAACAATAAAGAATCTCCTTCCATCAACTTGATCAGCTAATTGGTCAAAAAGACAAGCCCTCAAACAGGAAGATGCCCCAATGAATGGGGAGAAGAGTCTGTTATCTCTCTCCAATACCTTTACAAAAATCAAAACGTAATTATTTTTTCGGAGCCGTGAACTTCTCCTTAACTGGATACCTGTGTGTGTGAGTTTGTGTCTTCACGCCAGCTGACCAGAGTTCAACAGTGGAAATAAGGAAAAATTCAGGTCTGCATTATCGATCGATTTTCATGAACACCAGCAATGTCTAAAGCCCAATACACAACTTGTTGCCCTATATATATATATTGAAATTGTTCGCAAAATAATATAAAATATGGAATGAACTCACCGATATCTCAAAAATGACATGGTCCAAATCGCAGAGTTTTCGTGTTGTGAGCAGCAGAAACAGAAGAGCAGCAACGCCTCTAGCGATAGATGTGCCACTGGCCATCTTCGTCCTCCTTCTTTTTCAGCTCGCAAACATAAATACACCGGAACTGCTACTGGTTTCCGAATCTTCAGCATTCAGCTGCTCCGAAATATCAGAGGTAACCAAAATCGTAACACTTCGCAACCCGTAAATGTTACTCTTGAACCGCGCACTAGAAAATACAAATCTCACGACGGAACCGAAAATAACGGAAAACCCTAATCACAGCTCACACGACCGGAATTCCGTTAAAAATACTTATGGAAATAGCCTTCAATTCTTCTAGAAAAAATGCGACGAAAAATATGACACCTGATAAATTTTCGCGTCCGTTTAGAAGCAGGGCACACTTCGATTTCATAACAGAGGTACGCATCGAAGAAAAGTGGATTTTTCCAGTGAATTTACATTTGTCTTCAAATATTGATATGCCTTATACAGGGCTGGTAGTGTTGATGCGATATAATAGTAGTGACTTTAGTGACTAAAATTACGGAAATAGTGACCAAATAGTGACTTGTAAATACTAAATAAGTAACCATTTATATGGTAACTTAGAAATTCAAATACGATTTTATAATCAAATAAACTTTTTGTGTCATGGAACTTAAAATAAAATTTCATAAATTCCTCTAATTTAATCGAAGCTCACAACGGAATCTCAAGTGAAGTGCTTTGGAGTGATTTGAATAATTTACTTTTGCTTACGATATACATGGTGATTAGCAAATAGTAATTCCCATTTTTTATGAGCTTCGATTTGATTCTGCGTTCCAAATGTTTAAACTTTTAAACTTTAAAATGTTTAGAACTTTTCACAGAATTTCTTCAGAAAGATCTCTAGAACTTTTTTAGAATAATTCAGCCTCTTAAACTTAGAGGCAAATAAGCTTTTGCAAAAATAATATTGCATTCTTGAAATTCTTTGCAGAACAATCAACAAATTTTTTGGAAATAGATTATTTTCGTAGTTGGAAATGCTTAACATCAAATATCAGAATTAAAGTTGACATTTTATACGATAGATGAGAAGATGAAAGTAAAGAGTTGATAGTTCCGTTATAGTAAGGCAGTTTGAAATTTTTATATAGAAAGTAAAAAGCGAACAAAGGACAATTTTGAGGAAGGTACGAATCGGGTAGAGCATCTAAAAAAACCAAGCTCATCCGTTAATGAGGGATGGTGAGGGGTGTTTCACCCTGCAACCACTGGCAAAAGGGATGATCGCCGATTTGCTCATGTACCTCCGATGTGCGGAAACAGTTCTATCGATTGTGTCCCACTCAAGGCACCATCTGACGTAAACAACTAACCGATTCGTACCTTCAACAAAATTGTCCTTGCTCGCTTTCTACTTTGTATATACAGTTTTCACACTGCCGTACTATAACCAACAATCAATACGAAACTAACGATTTTAAATTGGCTCACTCCTTGACTAGCCTATTGGTCCCAAGCAATCGATTAACGTACTCCATTCTACTCCACAATGTTTGTTTTGATTAGCTATAAAAGTTTGACAGATAAAATGAGGGGTTAGTGGATTTTCCTATGTTTCGAGGGGTGAATCGGTTAGCTTGGGACCGAAGAGAGTACCAGAGCTGAGCCAAAAAGTTGAGCCCGTTATTTCGGGACCTTCTAGTCTTAGAGTTACCTCTATGCTATAACGGAGCTATCAACTCTATAATTTAATCTCGTCATCTATCGTATAAAATCGGCACTCTAAGTCTGATATTTGACGTTAAGCAACTCCGACTATGTAAATCGTTAAATTCACGCATGAAGTGATACCACATGATTAGTTAAATTAGATTTAAAACAAATGAAATTCGCAATCCCCTCAACCTTTCCCAATCCTTAAATTGTAAAATTCCCTAACCTCGAGACGACCGCGAGTAATCGGTTAAACCCCCTTAACTCTAGAGTTAAGATTCTTATTGTAGAAGAAAAAGAATATATCGGCTCTGTAAAGTTTATTCGACTGAGTCTGTACAAATAAACGAATTAACAAAACAAAGTTATATTAAATTATTTTCGATTTTGTATTGATTCTTGTAGGAACTCCCTGAAGGCTCCTTCCATAAATCTATTTTAAATTTATTTGAATTCTTCTTAGAATTTCTATGCAATTAACCTCAGAAATTTCAGAAATTTCTGCTTAGAATAATCTTGGACTTCTCTGCAGCATTCAATTGGAAACTAAATTCGTATTCTCCTTAGACGTTGAAATTCTACTTTGTTGAATCTTGAATCTTTTTAAACTGAAAAAAAACTATGATATCAACCCACAGTTAAAGCTGACCTTTTATAAAAAATATATAAAGGGTTTATTTGATAATAATGGTTCACTCACATAAACTTTATAACTAATATATTTTTTTTTACAATAAATCATAAATTACACTTCAAAATCTCGGCTCCCTTTGACTCAAAAAATCTAATCCCTTAAATATATAAAAAATCTAAAAGGAAGGCCAAAACAAAAACAGTGTTTTCTGTCACACTTTAAAAAATCATAATTCGTTAGTCAATTGAAAAAGGAATGGAAACAAATAAAAATGTAGTTTTTTTTTACTTAACAAGATTTTTAGGACAATATTCTATTTTATTGATTAAAACCCAAGTCGAAGCTCGCATTTGAATCATGATATATTTATTACTTGTTCAGTATCTTTAAAGAATCTACTCTGAAAATTGAATTTGTTATAAGAGTTGAAATAATACAGCTGCTTATGTGTGTGCCATTTTTGATGATGTAATATAATGTAATATATTTTGCATAAAGAGATAAGACTAAAGTCAGATTAAGATTAAGTGAGATTGAATTTCATATTGATGACTCCAAACTCGATGAATAATCGCATTCAAATAAAAAATCCTGCAATTTTGGTGATGGATAAAACCACACCGATATTTCTTTTTATTTCATTCATCCATATCGTCACTGTTACCTTAACCGTATTCCCCCCATATCAGTGCATTGCCACAGCAACTGAATATGATTCATTCCTTGTATATGATTAATTATACTACAAATCGAGACTCAGATTGATCACCGATCGATAAGAAACTTTCGATACTAAGCGCCGAAACCTCAATCAGATAACCCAGTGCGTGTTTCGATCTGCTTTCAAAAATTAGAATACAATTTGTTTTGTCAGTATCGATTCTACCCTCGAAGTGAGCAAACTATTTCAATCGGTCCCAAAATGTTCTTTAAAAGTGCACTATTCCTCACGTGTCTCACTGCAATCTCCTGTTCGAAACAAGCCCGCATCTTTGGAGGCCAACAGAAGGTGGAACCAGGTGAATTTCCGAACAACGCACTAATCCACATTCGCCAGCCGCTGCAAACGACTTTGAAATCCTTCTGCGGATCAATTTTATCGGAAAAGTTGATCCTCGTCGCAGCCCATTCCACCTACAGCGATCTAGCTCATCCGGAGAGGTTCGAGGTTATCGCCGGAAAGTATGATCTTTTGCAGTGGAGCAGCACGGAACAGGTGCGCAAAGTACGGATCGTGATCAAGCATCCCGACTATGACCACTTTGTCAAGGGGATGCACGATGTGGCGGTGCTAGTCTTGACCAGATCGCTTGATTTTAATGTGTTCATACAACCGGTTGCTTTGATGGACAGTTTGGACTATCCCACTGGTGTTGGCATGGTAACGGGGTACGGAGTGATCGAACCGAGCGGAACGAAAGCTAGCTATCTTACGGTATTGATGATTAATTTTTATAGCATTGTTCGTGAAATTGTTAATGAGTTTTTCGATCGCAGAAATTGTCGGTGAACATCCTAACACAAGCTGCTTGCACCAACGGCGACTCATTGTGGAACCCCACGTTGTTTTGCAGCGACCCGGGAACATGTGACGGGGACTCGGGTGCTCCTCTATTTCAACGGCACGGTGATAAATGGGTCCAAATTGGGTTGGTTTCGTTCGGATCGCAATGCGCTTTTTACGGATCTCCAACGTACTACACCTTTCTGGGGAGATACCTGAACTGGATCAACGAAACCATGGTGAGCATCAAGGACAACGATGGCAACGGTACTGATCGACCGAATATTGCGGGTGCTCCTTTGGTAGGGATTATAGCAGTGACTTGTTCGAAAATAATAATTGGTTTACTGACATTTTAGTTCGCTTATCTAAAGTGCAATAAATTAAAGTGAGTAAACACCCATCAATAATCACGATTGATCACAGTCAAACTCATATCACAATTCCGGTGGAACCATCCATCTAATTTGCATCTTTCCCACTGACCTCGCTGCGGAAGCATCGGCACCTCCGGGTTCCTGAATTCCTATTCAAATTTTATAATAATTTGCATACAAGCGCTGTGTGTGCCTTGCTTGAAGTTTTTTTAGTTACCCAAAATTCCCACACAACCCGAATGCGACTGGCTTGCAAGAAATGGTCTTCTCTTGCTATCTCGCACCCGCACTCACATCCATTGCAATCGCTCAGCAGTTCTCGTCCGCGCTCGCACCCTTTCACACTCACCGGCTCACTCACTCGCACTCACTTCACGCACACTCATCGTCGGCGGTCGGCATCTCACTTGTTGGTCTCTCCCTTCCACTCTCGCTTCAGCTGCGGCACCGGCGAGAGGTACGCCTACTAAATTCTCCTGCTCGGGTTCATGTGCTCCTGGCCGCTCGAATTCGAGTTCGAACATGTGCTCGTTTGTGGTGTTGTAGTCGCAACCGTTGTCGTCTCCTTTTCGGTTCACGACTCACATCTAATCGTGCCGGGAGAAAAGACACATTGGCAACAGAGGTGTTGCATACAAATCGAATAATTATTATTCTGGATAGAAGAATTCTTTAATGAGTTTTAAAATCAGGTTAATTATAATATTTGTCTTCTATTTTCAACTAGACTGTCGACGTCTGACAATCAACCTGGAGAAAGGCAGGAAACAGGGTCGCAAAGCAACTGCCAAAAGTGCCTGGTGCCAGCGCTAGCCACATATACAGATTTAACTTCAATGAAATTGCAAGGCTGGTAGTGAGTCACTTTTTAGTTACTTGGTCACTTTTTTCAAGTCAGTCACTAAAAAGTCTCTTTTTTTTAAGGCCAAGTCACTAAAGTCACTTTTTCTTCTAATAAGTCACTATTTTCAACTTTTTTAGCGTGAATTTATTTCAAGATTGAATATTTTTTGTGTTGTGACGTTTAATCGTCTTTCTCTATAAACAGGATGTCAACTCATTTTTCTGGATAAAATTACTTGAGTTTTCCTAGTAAGTAAGTCCGAGATCTAAAAATATTCAATGTCTTGTTTGGTATTCCATGTACAAGTTCAAGATATTGAAAATATTCAAAGTCTCAGAATTAAGTAAAAAAAGAAATGATTTATTTCAAGTTTTTAGTTAACTTTATGAAAGATTAGAGATCTTCAATGCAGTCCCATTAACTTTACAACAATTGTATGAACTTTGAAGAAGTTCTGAGGAATGAAAGGAAATGCTGAGAATTTCAGTGGAACTCCATAAACAAACTGCAGGAACATAAGAGAAGTTTGTACGCTGAAAATATGGGAAACTTACTGGAAACTGTAAGAACATCAAAGCGGTTCTTTTAGGATCCGAGACTTTTCAGGAACTTTTATGAAGTTCCTCGAATTTCAGAGAACTTCACAGGTGTCAAGCGAAATTGAGAAATTGAGAAAACTTGAAGGGTATTGTGCAAATTTTTAAGAAGTTCTAAGCACCTCAGAAAAGTTAGATAGAGTAAAACCCTATAATCGTAAATTTAGATAAATTCAAGATAGTTCCGTGATGTGCTGAAAACAAATCGAGAACCCTTCAGATGTTGCGCGAATTTCAGGCAAGTATAGAAACCTTCAGAGAATTTATGAACAGAAGTCCAGAGAATTTCAAGGAAATTTAAAGGTGTTTACGGGAATTCTATTTATTTCCGAGCAGAACCGAGATCTTCAAAATAGAACTAAGAGCTTTATGGAAGCTTCGAGAACATCAAGGCAGGTCAGAGATTCAAAGGGTAGTTCAAATAATTTCAAGGAAATATTATAAACATTAATGAAGTTTCGAGAAACTCAGTGAATTTCCTAAAACTTCAGCAAAGCTCCAAGGGAATTCCTGTAAATTTTATGAACATCCGGAAAACGTGAGAGTATTTTTAGGGTGTTATATCATGGAGATTTCAAGATCTTAAACAAATGCGAAAATTTAGCTAAGTTGATTAGAGAACATCAACGAAGTTCCATTAATAATAAGCAAGAACTTTTAGCAAGCAGCGATATCTTCAAGAAATTCCAGAGAACTAAATCTAGATATTTTTAGATAGTTTAATGATATTCAGCGAACTTCCAAGTGCTTCGTGGACGATCAAATAGCTTCAGAATAATCCCATTAACTTAAGCAAATTTGCAGCACTTACAAGGAGTTCCGTGGAATTATGGGGTATTCCAAGAATTCTATGATTGATCCTAAAACGTAAGAAGCGCCAGGGAATTATGAATATATATCTGAAAATTTGCTTTCCCTGAACTTATCTATGCTTACATGAAGCATAGATAAGTTCAGGGAAAAACGAGTGCTAATAATGGTTATAATACTCCAGGAACATTTTCGAAACTTCAAGGCAAATTAATCAATTTTAGTAAAAATACTGATAAATTCAGGGCATTCTAGAGAACTTTAAAGAAATTCAGTAATCGTTTAGGCACCAGGAAAGTCAAGACTATTGAAAAAGTTTTAAATTAGTGTCGATAATTTAAAAGAAGTTTTATGAATTTCAGAGAAATCTAGAGAACTTCAGCGAAAATCGTAGAACTATATGAATTATTTCGTTCTAATTCCATGAAAATTGCGGTAGCACAAAAGCTCCATAAATTTAGAAAAACTTGGGAAACTTCACAGAAGGACAGTCGTCTTCAGAAACTAAAAAAATTAATTTGTTTCTTACTGAAGATTAATCTACTGTGAATCTTTAAGGATCAAAGTGTGATTGAAAATAACAAGAAAAATTAAATGGTTGTATTTTAAAATTCATTATTTTATTTAAATTTTCAGTAGTAAGAAATTTTTAAATTCTTTGAGACTTCCAGGTACTTTATTAAACAAAAAATTTCCTAAGGATTCCTGGTTTTCCAGATTTTTTAAGTTAGTAGACACCGTGACTAATACGGTGGCTATTAACTTTCCATTGAATCTTTCGCTTTAAAGGTTCATATCGTATGATAATTGAATAAGTCTAAAACATCAAACATTTATTTGATACGCCATCTCTTAAATAGGTCACTTTTTAGTCACTATTTTTACAACTCACTATTTGGTCACTTATTTATTCAACATGGTCACTAAAGTCACTATTTCTGAACGCAGTGATCGCTACCAGCCCTGAAATTGGAAAATTTTCGATACAGAATCTCTATATATATACAGATTTTTTGAAAACTATACAGATTTTATAGATTTTTTTAGCATTTACAGATGAAAAAGATTTTTGAAACTTAAAAAATGTGGCATCTCTTACCACAATGGCCAGAGACTCTTGGACTTGATGGAACGTTGTTTCTTTTTGCAACCGACCACTCGGATGATGTTGCTCAGTTCATTGTCGTACTCGGTCGGTTTGGTCATTCCAAAAGTTAGAACATGCCTCAGCGAACACAATTTACGCATCAGTTTTTCATTAAAATATGGCAGGAAATGTACTCCCGATGTAGACCTCCGTGTTGACCTTGTCGGAATGAACACCGTGTCCATTTTTTTGCCATCGGAAGCCACCAATCCAAACACCATAACGCTAGCAGGATGCTTGGGTACACACGTTCTTGTGTTCGTCGGCTACGTCTTTTACCGGAAGAGAACTAATATACCGGTCGGTTCTGGAATTTGATACGGGATCGACGGTAAACATGCTCTCGTCGGTGAACACGATTACCGGATTTTTTTTTTCGCTTAAGGAAGTTCAAGATTTTCTTGCGTCGTTTGACTCGTAACTCCCGGATGCGGTAATCATGTGAATTTTTTTTTCCGTGCCCTCGACTTCGCCCCGCAATTTTCCGTGCCGTAAAGTCACTGATCCCGTGTTCCTTTGCCATTTTCTTTATTGGACGCACTGGATTCACCCGAATCTTCCTTTTGATAGCAGCGATAACCCTCGGAACCAGAACTGGCCTCGGATGACCTGTGGCCACCTTCGCCGATAGTTGTCCTTTCTTTTCTCGGTCTAAAACCCTTTCGACGGTCCACCGGGACACTCTCACGGCGATTGAAATGTCTTTTTGCGATATTTGCGAGTGGGACAAATCACTAATACGCTGCCACTTTGTCATGGTGCAACTGTCAAACTAAGTAAATCATTTTCATTTATACACAGCCTACTACGGTATGAGCTATAGGTTACGTGCATGCAAAGAAAACCAAGGCATTGTATGCACAGGTGAAACGGGAACCTTATTTGTACGATGGTGCAAACATTATCACGCATACGGTCATATCCGACTAACGTGCAGCTTAAGAATTAACAACACAACATTTGTTACACAGATGTCACAAAACTGCCATTGGATCTATTGATTAAAATTATTTAAGATTATCAGAAGTTCCCTTAATTAAAATAAGAAATTATTGAAATAAGAAATCATTACCGACTCCTCGCCTGGAACTATCGTCCGCATTGCTCCTAGCGCACCTCTACGAGAAAATCGTAAACCGCATCAACGTTATTACTGCTAAATGCTTCTTTTGGGCCGACTCAACCATCGTCATTTGCTGGCTTTCGTCGTCACCATCGAGATGAAAGCAATTTATGGCAAACCGTGTTTCCGAAATCCAACACATAACGAAAGGAGGAATTTGGAATCACGTCGCAGGAGAGGAGAATCCTGTGGATTCTCAGTACGCAGTTGCAGTACGAACCACGCTGGTTTACGGGGGCCTTGCTGACTGAAGTTAGATCAGCATTACTGGCCCAGAGTGGTAGAAATCGACGAGACTAAGTTCAACATGGCGGTGCTGGAGAGTAAAGCCATTGCAGCAGCCCTTCCAACCGTCACTCCGAGTGAAATTTTCAGCCTTCGATCGTCTCTGATAGATCTTGTGCGACTGACTGTCTATATTCAGCGATTTAAATGGAATTCGTCTCCAGTGAATCAACGCTGCATGAAGGTGGGCTACATCACTTCCCATGAGTATGGCGATGCGATCAAGGCTCTCGTGAAATTGTCACAGCAAGAAAGTTTTCCCAGGAACTAGCAAACATTTCCAAGAGTGGTCAGGGGCAAGATTCGTCCAGAATTTCTCCGCTCAATCCGCAACTTGCTGAAGGCATACTCTGTGTTGGTGGCCGGCTGAAGAGCGCTGCTGTATCGGAGCGTCGGAAACATCCCTACATCCTGGATCATCAGCATCCCTTCGCTCGAGCAATTGTAGCTTACTATCATCAGAAGCATTTCCATGTCGGTTAGCAACAAGTAGTTTCCAGCGTCCGAGAGCAGTTCTGACTTACAAGCATCAGGAAACTGACTAGACAAGTCATCCACGAGTGTGTCAAGTGCTGTTCGCGTGAAACCTAAAATCCAGGAGCAATTAATGGCAGACCTACCTCCCGAGCGAGTAACGCCATGCTTCCCATTCCAGAAGGTTGATGGGTCGATAGGTAGGGTCCAGGTGTGGGAGCTGCCTCCCTGGTGTCGGTAGCATTGGTGCTCAGCACGTAAAACAAGATCGACGGAAAACAAATCAAGGAAAAAAAAAATAGCCAAAGCACGGTTAAACCGGTTAGCCAGCAACTCCTGCACGATGGGACGCACTGTATTCGGGGGATCCCCAGCTGCCGTTTCACAACTCAAACAATATGCGGCTTGGGTTCATACCACTCTCGGTTGGCGAGACGTCTCCGTACAGCGATGTTTGGAAGCTCAACATCAACCACCGCCAGGCGATCGGACGCTTGGTCCACAACTGGAAGATCGATATTGCTGGAACCCTTCTCCATCAAACGAAATGCAGCACGAATTGTGGCTTGCATAATCATTAAATCGAACGGCAAAGTGCCTGCTGCAGCCATAATCGCTGGAATCGTACTGGTAACGTACGCCCCTGAGGCGAACCGGGCCATCCGGTTGTAGATGGGTGCAAGAGTCTGCACCACCGAATCCTTCGCTCTACTGACGAGTCCGATACCGTAGATAGGTCGCGACGTGACGATTGCTGATCCGATACACAACAGAGAATCACGTTGCCCTCGCGGAAATTTAGTCAAGATTCGCAGCCTAGAGTCACACGTAGTTTTGACTATCTTGCAATGGTATTTGAAGGACAGCGACCGCCAACAACTTTCAGTTGATTCGTCCTCGGTACAGTACGGTCGATTTTATGATTTCAGGCCTCGCGTGGTGGCTGAACTCGCGGACGCGAATACTGGGCGTGAAACCACAAATCACTCGGAATTAAACGAATTAAAACGCGCGTCTTAACGATAAAACGACATGGTTTATTACTATCTTTTCAACAATAACAAACATAAAACAAGTTGAATCGACATTTGGTTGCAGGTATGCACAGTAACGGTAGCATCATAGTGTGATAGCTCTCGCTGTCAACTCGAGCCCAGCGGCGTGTGGACTTTGTAGGGGCACTCCGCTTATTCCATTTCGCACTCCAACATCCCCCTCGTTTAATACAGACGGTACGGGTCGAACCAACGTGGCGGCCTTCGAAGTCTTCAAGAGCGACGTGGCAGTACCTGTATCGGCGTAGCAGGTCCACTGCTGGCTGATTCAAACTCTAGAGATGCTGTGGACGTTGATGTGGATGAAGACAACACTGGCGTAGACAATCTTGGGCTACGAGCTGACTGAGCAGGAACCGACTGTTCTCCAGAAGGTTCTAGAGGTGACGATTCTTCGGGAGACACACATGGATCCGGCACTGGCATTGGCGGTTGCCTCGGTGTTGACGTTTCCGGAGCCGACGAGTACTTCGGTAGATCCCAGAAGTCCAGCAGAATCTCAAGTGGTAGCTTTGTTTTGTCAGGTCCTTGATTATTTGCAGGTTTCGTTTCAGTTACATTGGAGCGGCTGCGTAATTGATTCACGTGTGCTCGTATCAACCGACGATCCTCAACCCACACCGTGTACATGACATGGCCGATTCGATCGCATACCACGCCCGGGGCCCAGCGCCACTTGTTGTTGTTGTAGATCTTCGCATACACAAGATCGTGTGTAGCTAAGCATCGCTTATTCTGGTCTTCTTTTTGCTTGGTTTGAACGGTTGATGAAACAGGCGGTGGACGAAGCAGATCCAAATTTGTTTGGATACGGCGCCCAAACATTGCTTCTAATGGAGACTTTCCATCGTCTACTTACCGATTTGACGTTGTGCGGTAGACCAACAGGAACACGTCCAATGCTTCTTGTAGCGTATTCTTCCCCTCTTGAATTTTCTTCACCGTTCTCTTGAAAGTATCCACGAACCTCTCCGCTTGTCCGTTGGATTGTGGATGAAACGGATCCGTGGTTACATGTTGAATTCCATTGTCAGCACAGAAATTCTGGAATTCCGCGCTCGTGAACTGGGTGCCATTGCCACTAACAACCACCTCTGGCATTCCAAGGCGGGCGAAAAGGCTTCTCAGGATGCTGATCGTTGCTGCTGATGTAATACGTCGCGTTTGAACAATTTCCGGCCATTTGGAGTACGCATCGACGGCTAGCATCCTCCGTCGATCGGTCCTGCGTAATCGATATGAAGCCGCTTCCATGGACCCGTTGGTTTTGGCCACGGATCTGGCGGTGAGTGGGGCGGTGACTTTGCCACAGATGCACAATGCTTACAGGAATTGACGTATGCAACGATCTCATCGTCTAGGGAAGGCCAGTACACAAAAAACTCTTAGCGATGGCGTTCATTCGCTGAATGCCCGGATGTTCCTGGTGAAGCTGTCGCAGGCATCGACCTCGATGTTTCTCAGGGATCACAAGACGTTCTTCGAACAAGATGCACCCGTCTACCGTACTTAGTGACTCCTGACAACCATGGTATCGCAAAAGCTCTGCATCCGCAATGGTAGATTTTTGCGGCCAACCATCTTGGAGGTAACGGTAAACCTTTCGAAGCTTTGGGTCGGATTGCGAGTTTCTTTCAACGACCCTGAAACTGAGCGGGAGAACGTTAATAACTTCATTCGCTACTGACCTAGGATTACGCAGGCGATGACATAATCTTCCTCGGGCTTAGCGTGATTGTCTATCAACCTTGAAAGCACATCAGCATGACCGAATTTGTGTGTGGGAACATGCTCGATGACGAAGTCGTATAGCAGTAGCGTTAGCGCCCACCGTTGCAGCCGGTTCGCTGTGTATACCGGGATTCCTTTCCTTGAACCGAAAATTCTTAAAAGGGGCGCGTGATCCGTCTGTAAGCGGAACTTCCGACCGAAGATCATTTTATGAAATTTGGTCACAGCAAAAATGATTGCCAACCCTTCACGATCCGGTTGGCTATAACCCTGTACCGCTTTCGTTAGCGCCCTGGCCGCATGCTGCACAACTTTTATAGAACCATCAGGAAATTTATGGCTTATCGTGGCGCCTACTCCAACCGACGATGCATCCGCAGACACAATGATCTCGCGATTCGGATCGTAATGGGTCAACAGTAGATCCGAGGTCAAAATCTGCTTAAAGCGGTCGAACGATTGCTGGCACTCTGGTGTCCAACGAAATTTTGCACCTACTTTTAGCAACTCGTCGTTCGGGAACGCCAGCGATCGCATTTTTGGGACGAACTTACCGTAATAGTTGATGGCTCCCAAATACGACCGAACACCACTGACATCCGTAGGCACTGGAAGCTTCACAATGGTTTCGATCTTCGCTGGATCCGGTCTGAGCCCGTGGCGGTCCAGTAGATGTTCCAAATACCGGATATGCCCTTGCCCAAACGTACACTTCTCCACACGCACATTGTATCCAAATTCCTTCATCCTCTGGAACATGGCATCCAAATTCTTCTTGTATCATCAGCTCCACCGACAACTACATCATCCAGGTACCCGCAAACACCTCGTAGCCCAGCGAGCATCGTGTCGATGATCTATTGAAATGCTCCTGGTGCTACTTTCACACCCGGTGAGAGACGGTTATATTGGTAGCCACGATGCGTGTTGATGGTTAGCAGTTGACGTGACCGTTCGTCAATCTCCATCTGCAGAAAAGCGTCTGTCAGATCGATCTGGCTAAAAACAGTGCAATTAGCCAAACTGGTAAAAATGTCTTGCGGCAGGGGAAGCGGGTACTGATTGGGTCGCAGCGCATCGTTCAGACCCGTCGAATAATCACCACAGATACGTATCGATCCGCTCGCTTTCCAAACCACGACGATCGGAGCCGCCCACTCCGAGTAGTCCACAGGTGAGATGATTTGGTCTTGTTCCAGCCGATACAGTTCGTCATCCACAGCACGGTACATAGCGTATGCTACTGGACGTTTCAGACGAAACACAGGACTCTTTCCAGCCTTCAGCTCCAATTTGACTTTCGCCTTCGTGCAGAGACCTAACTGCTCTGAAAACACTTCCGGGAACTTCGTTTTCAGCGCGTTCACACTCACCGAACCACTGCCAACCTTGTTGCAGATCGTGTCGAAGGGTACCGTCACAGACGACGGATTCATTTGAAAGCTTCCAATCTTCCTCCACGTTCCAGTTGATATTATGGTGACGTCAGAACCGGTGTCCAGCTGCATTCGTGCCACACTTCCATTCATTTCAACTGGTATAAACTTCCGATGCCCACGAACACTGCATGCATTCACCGTCACCACCTTCGCAGAAACATTCGCCTTACGCCGACCAAATCTTCCGAAATTCACTTTCTCGGCGCTCCGGCAGTAGCCCTCTTTATGGCCGGTCTTGCCACAATCGCCGCACTTATGGTTCCTATATGAGCATTCCTATGCGAGGGAATGCTCATATGCATCGTTCCACACACCAAAAAATTATGAATTCTAATGGTGATATAAATATCCATGCATGCTAAACTTGAAGCATGTAAAATTCCTTTTCACGTAAACTACCAACTTGCAAGAAATATTGCTTACAAAGATGGATGGTTGCATACAATATTTAGAACATTTCATTCAATGACTCATAAATTTACACGATCTGTAATGTGAATTTGTATGATATGTGACGCTCCAGTTATGTGCATCATAATGACAAAAATATACACTACTTTTTCGAACTGTGCACATAACCAGCACGCTACTTCCGAACTACCCCTGTTGCTCCCGAACTTTTGCTTTCCGGTACTGGAACCCGACTTGAACTCCGACGAATTTATTCTGAACTGCTGCTTCCTCAATCTTATAGCGTTCACTGATGCTGGGTTCTCAATCATTTCCGTGTCGTGCCGTAAGTTGATGAGCCTCTGGCACTCCTCGGAAAGTTGCTCCAACGTAAAGGGTGATACGGTCAAAATTTGGTCAAGGGAAAACGCGTGTAAATCGGTGAAATCGTTTATTTAAAAATCAAATTAAATTTCTTTTTCAAGTTCAATTAGTATAAAATTCAGGAAAAATATTCAGTTAGGCTTCCGCTTTTCCAAATCCGAATTGCCGGGCCTTACGCTTGACCCCTGCCATCAGATTTTGTACAGCCACCTTGTCCACCTTCTTCGCCGCAGAAAGCCAGTTTGCCTTGAACTGCTGCTCGCCCTTAGCAGTTTTTTTGGTCTTCTTTAGGTTCCGCTTGACAATAGCCCAGTATTTCTCAATTGGGCGGAGCTCTGGCGTGTTGGGAGGGTTCTTGTCCTTGGGAACCACCTGCACGTTGTTGGCGGCGTACCACTCCATGGCCTTTTTACCGTAATGGCAAGATGCCAAATCCGGCCAAAACAGTACGGAACAACCGTGTTTCTTCAGGAAAGGCAGCAGACGTTTATTCAAACACTCTTTCACGTAAATTTCTTGGTTGACAGTCCCGGAAGCTATGAAAATGCTGCTTTTCAAGCCACAGGTACAGATGGCTTGCCAAACCAGATATTTCTTTGCGAACTTTGACAGTTTCATGTGCTTGAAAACATCTGCTACCTTTCCCCTTCCTTTTGCCGTATAAAACTCCTGTCCCGGAAGCTGCTTGTAGTCGGCTTTGACGTAGGTTTCGTCGTCCATTACCACGCAGTCAAACTTCGTCAGCATCGTCGTGTACAGCCTCCGGGATCGCGCTTTGGCCGTCGTATTTTGTTTATCATCGCGATTTGGAGTCACTACCTTCTTGTAAGTCGATAGTCCGGCTCGTTTTTTGGCTCGATGCACGGTTGTAGACGATACACCCAGCTTATTTGCGGCATCTCGGAGAGAGAGGTTAGGGTTTCGCTTGAAACTACCGGCAACTCTCTTTGTCGTCTCAGCGGCTTCCGGTTTTCGATTTCCCCCCGATCCAGACTTCCTGGCTGTCGACAAACGTTCCCCAAACACTTTAATTACATTTGTAACGGTTGATTTGGCAACTTTTAGCGATTTTGCCAACTTTGCGTGCGAGTAGTTCGGATTTTCGCGATGCGCGAGCAAAATTTTGATACGCTGCTCTTCTTGCTTGGACGGCATTTTGACAACTGAAGAGTGAATTCCAAAATCAAAATAGGAGCAACATTCTACACACACACACCTTCAAAATGAGGGGTGTTCAGGTTTTTTAAATGCAAAATTGAAAGAAATACGTCAAGTTGATATTGACCAAATTTTGACCGTATCACCCTTTAACATCACTGCGCTCTTCGATGCGACTCAGCAATCGGGTCCTCACTTCAGCATCCTTGTCCGACTTCAGCCCACAGACGAAAACTAAACATTTGAACTGCTCTTCGGTTAGTTGTTTCGTCAGCTCGAATTCAACGCACGACTTGTTGATGCGACAAGCGTACGTGACGAAATCCTCAGTGGGCTGCTTCGCTATTTGTAAACAGCGATATCTCCGGCTGATCACGGTTTCTGAAGCACCGAATAGCGAACTGAGCTTAATCACCGTTTCCGTAAATAGAAAATCCCTCGGTGATTTTGGCAGTATGAAGCTCACATATCACTCATGTTCGGACCTTCCCAGCTTCCTCATTATTTGACCACTATCCCCACTTTTATGATTTCAGACCCTGCGTGGTGGCCGAACTCGCGGACGCGAATACTGGTACCCATTTTAGCAACCGATTAGCACTTGTGTTTATGTCAGTTACTGTGAGGACGTAAATTGTATAATTCGACAATAAGCTTGCATAAGGGCAATGATCGATTCTCTTCATCGATTTTTTCTATAAATTGCTACAGTTAAACGGAAAATAATTCTGAAATTTGACTAGGATAGATGGACCAGTTATAGCTACTAGGTGGGGTGAAAAGTAACCTCCTTGGGAATGACTTTTTTATTTAATTTTATTATTCAATATAGTCCCCTTTTAGCCCGATACACTTATTCCAGTGATTTTCCAACTTCATGATCCCATCCGAAAAGCAATTTTCCGGAAGGTCTGCAAAATACTCCTCCGCGGCGTCGATGATTTCCTCACGTGAGCTGAATTTTTTATTGATGAGCTATCTTTTGAGGTTTGGGAAGAGATATTTAATAATCAGAGGGAGCCAAATCGGGCGAATACGGTGGATGCGGAAGTAATTGGCACCATAACCTTTTTTGCAGTAGCAGCGCATTCTGGCGGTCAAGGAGGTTACTTTTCACCCCACCTAGTATAGTTCCAATTATGGCTATAGTGAAGACATTTTACTAATTATCTGAAGAAAAAAAACTGCATATGATCAATCGACTAATACTTACAAATATATGTTCAGTCATATGTTCGGACTTTAATTGTGTAAAAATATAAATAATGCACATTACAACCCGATTAAAACGTGTTTGAAAATATACTTGCTTGCAGAACTAATTTTTGTTAGCCCAGCCATGACTAAGAAACGTGATTAAAATATTGTTTTTTCTTAAACAATAAGCATTTTTTACCATTTTTCAAGAGCAGACTTTGCATGCACGTGATCGTTATCAAGTGGGCGACACATCTAAATCTCAATTCCAGATGCTCAAAAAATCTCACACTAGCAAATCAATTTTTGAAAAATCAGTGCCAACATTTCAAAGGGGCGTAATTGCTTTTGTAAACAATGGCTTTAGACGTCGATTTATTGCAAATGAAACCCCACACCTCCAAATTACAAATGCTAGCTGATACAGGAAACATTCCTCTGCGTGCTGGTGTCATTTATTTTCATGAGTGAGCTTTCATTCGCGAGAAATCGACGACTAAAGCCATTGTTTACAAATGCAATTACGCCCCTTTGAAATGTTGGCACTGAAATCTTCTTTTATTTTTCGCATCTACTTGCATAGCTCATAAACTTTTTGCAAGAAATCTTCAAAATCGTCATCAATCTTCTTTCTATGTACTCAGCGTGCGCGCAGCTAGCCACAGCAAAATACAATATTTCCTGCATTGTAGATAGAGTTGCCCCCTCGATCGCTGCTGAAATTTTCGCTCCACAGTGCTCTCAAACGGTTTCAAATCAGGTCCTGATTAGCCTCCCAAAATTTAAACTCATTTGGTAAGAAACTGACTTGGCACAAACTATTCGAAGTTTATATGGAAATTACAATGCAAAAACCAAACTTTTTGTTCATTATCTTCTACCCATTTTCCATATTGCTTTTTCGAAAATTTCTATAACTATTCTTACGGGAAAATTTCTAAGCTACAACTTTGCGAAAAATAGTTTTTCAGCGAAATGTCAAATTAAATTGTTATCAATTGTTAATCTTATGGCATGATCAATCAGCTGTTCTGTGGGCATCATTGCATTCTGCAGTGTGACATAGTAGCCATGATATTTGTGCTCTTTTTTTTTGAACCAGAAACACCAATGTTGCCTGCTCAACGCAGCATAATCATAAGACATCAGTGACTTGAATCATTAATAACTTTTGTTCCTTACATTTGATTGAAAAGTGGTTTTCAACAAAGTTGTAGCTGAACAATTTTGCTGCAATCACTGCTATAAGCTAAAAGCATAGTGATTTGGTGAATTGTTAGATAAATATGAACAAAAACATAAGTTTTCCCATAGTAATTCCCATATAAACTTGAAATGGTTTGTGCCAAGTCAGTTTCTTGCTTAAGTAGTTCAAATTTTGGGAGGCTAAGTAGGACCCAATTTGGAACCGTTTAAGCACTGTGGAGCGATAATTTCAAATTTTGCATCAGTCTATCAGTCATCAGAAAAAAATAAATTTTGTCGATGAAATATAATTTTCAAGTATAACCATAATAGGTACCGAAAGCGAAAGTACCTGTAGCGATCTGTCACTTTAAGCTATAGCTCCATGTTTACATGATCATTGTACTAGACAAGGTTAACGTTTAGTTGAATTTTAAGCGATTTCGGATTTTTTGTACAGATTTTTTCCTCTCAGGTATTAATAAACATTGATTTTTCACCCTAATGAGCATAATTACCTACAGACAACTGTATTTTTTGTATCATATATAAAATGGCGAAAAAATCAGGGGAAACATGTCAGAAGGGTTTAACTGGAAACATAGACAATGACTGGATCGTCGGTTTCTTACGAATGCTTCTTACGCTCAAACTAACTAAATCATCTGACAGAGAAATGTTTGTTCTATGAGCTTGTGTAGTCAGATTCCGAGGGTGTATGGTCATTAGAGTGGGTCATCGTTATATGGAAAAACGCAAACTTTACCCCACCAATC